AGTGCTTCCCAAACTTTTCCTTAGCATGACCCATTTCCTCAGCATGGCCCTTCACTCCCAACCCACAACCCCCCACCCCCGTGACCCCACCCACTGATGTTGCGATCCGACTTGGTGTTGCAACCTACAGTTTGGGAACTGCTGCCCTACAGGATGCTGGTCGAGCAACTTCAACCAACTTCACACACACACCTCTGGCCCAACCCCCTCCACTTCCATATCCTTCCTTTTACTTCCAGTCCTAGGCTCCCTCCTCCTGTCTCCCCAAACCAAGTCTCAGTCTGTTTTGTCTCAGTTTGTCCTTCCATCCCTCTGGTCTGGTTCTTGTTCCAACAAAAGATACAGGGACCCTTAAAGACTCCTTTACTAAACAACCATGGCTCACCTCAAGAGCACGGTCCATTCTATGCACTAAATGAGACAGAGCCCTATGGAGGAAAATGGTATGTGACCACATAATTGAAGGCTAACCTAAAGAATACATAAAAGGGAACACATTTAAATGGTACAAACTAACATAATCCCTCAATACTTAATATTCAGGTTAAAGTCATTTTAACATTTTTTGTGTACAATTAAATAGAAGATGACTGACAATGTAATTAGTAGGACTGGCCAAAAATGAAAATAAAAACATATTATACATGTAATGTATATAAAATATATTGTAATATACTATTATATGAATCTCCCTCTCCATCTCTCAACACATTTTTCCAGTAATACACTGTCTTACAGCTCAGACTGGACTACAAATGGTTGAATGCTGAAAATATTATCCATTAAATACATTTACACTAGAGGTGCACAGATACATTGGTCGATATCATATCGGCACCAATAAAAAGAAAATTGACATTATTGGCAATTGGCATTTAATGGCTAATGTGGCCAATAATGTCGCTGATAAATGCTACATGCATGGGCAAGGCCGCAGCATGCATGCGGCCAAGAATGTAGCCCAGCAGCTTGGAGAGAAGCATCTCTTGGTAAGTCAGTTGGGTGGAAGGGGCATGGGGAGCAGAGGGGAGACAAATCAAGACCCCCATGGTGACAGAAAAAGTGGGGATGGGACATGGGCAGGCACTGCCCAGCCAGGGTGGAGAAGGGTGCAGGACTGAGCTGCGAGCAGCTCATCCAGGTAGTGCAAGGGAAGGGGAGAGGTCCTGCCGCTGCACCCCCTGCCCTGGGGGAGCCAGGCATGTGCCCCCCAGATCTGTGCGTGGGGTGAAGGCAGGCTGCCACTGCGGGCTGATGCCAGGGGCATCTCCAGGCTTTTCCTGCCTGGGGGCTGTGCTTGGGGCAGGTGGCGGTGCTGGGAGAAGGGGCTATGGGAGGGCTACAGAGAATTCTGGGGTGGCTGCAGCCCATCCCATAGTACCCCTCTCAAGCTCAGCCACAGCCCAGACCCCCCTGCCATGAAGAGCCCAGCACTGCCCCCCAGCCCTAGCCTGACCTCACCCCACGCACAGATACAGGGGGGCATGTACCCTCCATGCCTCCCATGGGGGGGGGGGGTGTGCAGCAGCAGGAGCCGCCCCCTCCCCTGGACAAGCTGCTTGTGGCTCAATCCTGCCCCGACTACACAGCACCTGCTGCTGCTCCAGTCCCACTCCCCCCACTCATCATGGGAGCCTCAATCTGCCCCCCCACCCCTACATGTTTCTCCCCTCCCACCAGCAGACTTACCAGGTTGCCAAGCTGCTGGGCTACATATCAGTAATCAGATCAGTATTGGCTGATATGGCTCGTTAATAATTGGCTGTCAGTATCGGCCCCCAAAAAAATCTTAATTGGCGCACCCCTACAATTACACAACCTCTCTGAAGGTTTTTGGTTTTTTTTAAATTTCTGCAGCTCTGTTAAAGTTGCAGGAAAACTCAAATAGCCTTTTCGTCTGCAGCAGCAACCAAGAGAGCTTGGTAATAACAAAGCCAATATTAAAAGCATATAATTCTTCATATTTCTTTGGCACCTTTAATATCAGAATCTCAAAACAGTCTTGCTTTCTTTAGACAACCTTATTACGCACAGGCTTTGCACATTATAGGACTTCCCAAATTGACTAGCTAGGGACATAACTTCATGAGCACTAAAAGCCACCTCTGTAACATGCTAGAGAATAATCCAAACTTGTCCACAAACATTAATGAAAAAATCACTGAGGTGCTGCTATACATTTTTTTGATTTTTTAAAATAGCTCCTGAGGCAAAAATGACACAATGTCACTAGCTTCTCAATTATGAACAGTCTGCCAATTGAGGATGATGTTTTATTGTTATTACCAAGCAGGAACACCAGGCTGGATGACGTACTACAGATTACTAGGAGAGATGGAGCGTACAATTACTGTTCTAATATTTGACATAAATGGTATTTTAAAAAGATATAAAAATATCACAGAGTTTATTTCAGTTCAGTAAGCACCTATCAAGACACAAAGGTGCTAAACTGCTGACACTGTACAGCTCACTGACACAAGAACCAAACTACTGAGACAAGACATGAAACTTCTAGAGAAGAAAGTTTAGTAGTTAACATTTTACCTGTTTATCTCCAACTGAATTCAGGTGACTGCATACACTACCCAAGTCTAATTTTGTATTTAATTTATAATTCCTTATGGCATACCAGGAAAAAAGAGCAATTGCTTCCTTGCTATTAATTTATAGCCAAATCATCAGAAGCTTTCAGCTCTTAATATGCAACTCTTGGTCCTGCACAACTGATCATCCAGCAGATTTCTCTAGTAGGCCTCCCAAAAAAACCTGTAAAACGCAAGATGGCAGGAATTTCTGAAAACATCGTTTTTATTCAACTCTATCAAATTGGGAACTTTCAGATTCTAAAATAAAAATATTCCATTTCTCTTACAGTAAGCCATCCCGAGCCTTATTGGAAAGGGCAGCACATAAATCAAATGGATAGATAAATACAAAGATAAAATGCTTCTTATGCAGCATCTGGTCAAGGGTAATTCTGTGGCCTATGATCCTATACAACTACATTTCCTGACAAGTGAAATCTAATACCTCTGGATTCAGCTCTAGTAGAGAGAAAAAAAAGCCTTTATCCATTTTGAAGAGGACATGGACAAAAAAAAAACCACACCCTCCTGCCAAAAACAGATAGTTCAGTGAGCAGCTATAGAGGAGCTGAAATTTATGCAAACCTAAAACAATCCTGGGCAATATCATTCAAGCTACTCATCTGAATAGGATGGAAAAATAGCTGCAAAAGGCAGTATGGCATTTTAAATGCATTTTTCAAACAAGACTCCCTCCTGTTCTATTTAGGGGTATTTTTAATCCAATTTTGTATTGGGAGGGGGAAAGAGACAGGGGCAAAATATAAAACCATATAATTCACATCAGGGAAAACTCATTTACTTTACTCCCAAAGCTCTTATAAAAGCAAACATAAATGATACCGTCTATGCATTTTACACATTACAAGAAAAAAAAATGAAAGGCCGTGTTGTTCCTAGTTATGTTATCAAAGAAATACATACTGACCACAAGGACTGATGGCCCAAAATAAAGTTTTGGGTGAAAGGCAGCGTTTCCCAAATTGCGGGATACACCTCTGAAAGGGGCACAAGCAAACCATAGCAGCAGTTGGCAACTACCCAGTCTCATTCAGCAGCCACCATTGTTTCTCTCACTGTAAGGTGAGAAAATAAGCAGCAGCTACTGAAGTGGAGGGGGAGCAAGAGTGCCTGGCTTTCCTATGGTGGGGAGTAAATCTACAAGGTTCAGGAAACCCTGCTTTAAGAAATACTGTGTTATCCAGCATTCCACTACCCAAAATACTCTATTAAATGGAATTTGCAGTTGACTGGATGCAGGGAGATGCGAGGGAAAGCTTGCACATGGCGGCTGCTGCTCACTGTCCGGCGCCGCCAACCTCCCCTATGTCCAGCCGAAAACCACCAGTCTCAGGTAACCAGAATATTTAGATACCCAGCACCCCCAGTCCCCACTCGTGCCAGATAACAGGGCTTTTACTGTACTTAGTAATGGGGCTGATCACAGTATAGAGAAGACAAAACACTGACCGTTTCAAAGATAAAACTGGGCAACAACTATTAAATACTTCCACTAACACCAAATAGACTTCACCAGGCCCATACTCCTACCACTACACCTCCGAGGAAAAATATCAACACCCTCAAAGATGGAAGTGTGACATTTAACTTATCTAAATATCTAAGGAAAACAAAGCAGGAGCAATAAGCAGCACTGATTTATAAGCAGATTTTGCCAGACAAGCCAAATAACTAGAGGTGCACTAATACATCACTCCCATATCAGATCAGCACCCATATAAAGAAAATTGATCGTACGGGAAATTGGCCTCATGTGGCCGATAATTTGGCTGATAAATACCCATGAATGCACGCAGCTGCAGCACAACACATAGGCAGAGAGGAGCACAGCCTGGCAGCTTGAAGAGCTGCGTGCAGCTGATAAGTCCGGTGTGGTGGAAGCGGAATGGAAAGGGCATGAATGGGGGTGCAGATCAAGACCCCTGTGATGAGGGAGCAGTGGGGTTGGGGCAAGCACTGCCCAGCCAGGGTGGGGTGGACACAAGATGGAGCCACAGCTTGTCCGAGGGCACGGGGTGGGGGGGAGCACAGCCCTAGCTGCTGTACACTGCTTGTCCAGGATGGTATGGGAGGGGGTGCCCCCAGATCTTCATTGGGTGGGGTGGCTGGGGTTGTGCAGGGCTCTTCCCAGCCCACCACATGCAGATCTGGGGGCCCCTTCTCCCCCCCTGCATGCCCTCCCAAATAAGCGGCAGAAGCCACCAGATGAGTGGGTCCCAGGCGAGCAGCGTGCAGTGGCGGGAGCCGCCACTCCCAGATGAGCCACAGCTCCGTCCTGACCCAGCTGGGCAGTGCTTACCCCAGCCCGTCCCACTCCTCCCTCACCACAGGGGCCTTGATTTGCTCCAAGCCCCTTCCCTCCCCCCTCAGCTTCCACCACAGTAGACTTACCAGCTCCACACAGCTCTCCAAGCAGCTGGGCTGGTATTGGAAATCAGACTGGTATTGGCCAATATGCCTCCTTAAAAAAAAATCAGCTATCAGTATTGGCCCCAAAAATCTCTGTCGGTGCACTCTACTAATAATGTATTTGAACAAAATAACAGACGTAATGGACAATAAGCACACTTGTTCAAACGTACTTAGCTTTTTAGTGAGGACTCTGACACCGTCTCAAAAATTTTCTGGTGATTCATTCAAATGAACTTGGCCTTTGAACAGGATTGCAAATGGAAAGCTCACTGAAGTTCTGTAAGCAGAGTGTTTATAAATGGAAACTTATTGTATCAGGCTGTGAAAAGAATTTTAATGTGGCAACACAAGAACTGGCTGGCATTAGGTACAGTCTTGTTAAACATCTTTGTTAATCTGGAGTGGGATAAATAGCACGTGAATTCTATTAACAGAAATGCTAACTTGGGAGGAGCTGTAAATGGAAGTTAAGGTAGAAAAATAAGACAATAGGCTGTAGGGCAGGACTCTAAACTCAGTCAACGACATGGTTTCTAGGTCTGTGCAAAATTTCAGCAGCCATTTCATTTCAGAGGTGTTTTGGGCCATTTTGGCGCCTGAAACACCGAATCAGAATTGAAACGGAAGGCTCTGAAACAAAATGAGGCATCCAAAACGTTTCGGAAATGTTTTGGAAAATTTTGGAGTTTCAGAGCTGAGCCTGCAGGGGAACAGCTGTACGTTGATGCCCTGCCATGCAACGGCTCCACAGGGAGCAGAGATCTGTGCTGCGGGTCTCCTCACCACCACTGCCCGCCCCGCACTACCCCAGCAACCTGGGGCTGCACGAGACAGGCAGCAGCGGCAAAGAGACCCTGGTGTGGATCTCTGCTCCCTGCAGAGCCAGATTGCGCAGCAGGGCAGTGCTGGTCACATGATTTGGCTCTGCAGGGAACAGAGATCCATGCCAGGACCTCTTCACCACCGCTGCCCGCCCCGAGATGCCCCACGTCGCCAGGGCAATGCAGGGCAGGCAGTGGCGCTGAGAAGACCCCCAGCACAGATCTCTGCTACCTGTGGAGCCAAGTTGCGCAGCAGCGACCGGCAGGCTTGCTCACAGCTCTGCGCTGCTTCCCTGATCCCTGTCAGGCTGGATTGTAGGGCAGAGATCCGTGTGGGGGTCTCCTTGCCTGCGTGGAAGGCAACAGCCCTCCCCCTCTCCCGGACAAGCCACCCACCGCCCCATCCTGCTGCCCACTGGGGCCGCAAGCCCCCAGTCCCACCCAGCTGGGCAGTAGGACGGTGCAAAGCTTGCAGCCTGTTCGAAACAGATTCAGAGGACGTTCGATAGAACCAAATCTCTGAAACCGATTCAGCCAAAACGAAAAAGGACAGTGATCCGAAACACCAAAACAAATCACTGTCCTCCAAAATGGCTGATTCTGAAACCGAATTGAAACGCAGCCATTTTGCACAGCCCTAATAGTCTCCATTTGATGGTGCAGAATCAGAGTCCTGTGTGGCTTTGAGATATGGACAGGACATTAATTAAAGTTAAGTTTAGGATATTGTGCATTATTTTCTGTCAGACAAGCACTGTCCTTTCTTAGGGAGTTTGTGTTTACTTTTTGTCAGTCATTTCACTAAGTCTATTCCTCTTTCCCTGCATTTGCCTCGCACATGAAGCACATTACCCTGCCGCTTGGTTCTATTTTCTCCCAGACAGTTTCCAAGCCGCCTGCTCCTCGGTGTGGGCAGACATAGATGTGCACTGTGTTCCCTTATTTTCTGAACATCCTCTCTTGCTGGTGGCCATAACACTGTTGGTTTCCCCACGACTTTATTACCAGAGGGCAGGTATTTCCTACCCATATATAAAACACAAGCTAAGCAGAAACAGCTAAATTAGCCCTCCTCCTTTTTCCTCAGCCTACCTTCTATTCTTCACTGTGAAGGGCCTGGACATATATGGCAGTAGTTGGAAACAAGGAAAAGACCTAACAGCAATGATAAAATAGTTCTCCATATACCACCAACTGCTCCGCAAACCATAAATCATCTATGTTTTACAATTTATGAAACTTTATTCTGGGTTATTATTTTTCCATTATAATTAGCTTGTCTGGCTTGATTAGCATGGGAATTTTGCTAAAGATTATTTTTAAAATATGTATATGATAAAACACATCCCTTGCAAGTAAAGCCAGAACTACAGCAAAAGCAGTATGATATCAATTTTCTAATCTAATGAAAGTACAGAGAAAAAATATGTTGGTGAAGCAAGGCAACTGGAAGAAAAAAAGAAAACTCAAATTTATCATTGTCAGACAATCCTGGGTCATTTTATACAAAACAGCCAAAACATAAGTCTGTTAGCTACACTGTTACATCTCCTCAAAATCCAAATTATCAGATGTCAAAACTGTGGGAAATTAATCATCTTTTTTATTCCTAGAGAACTGGAAAAGCACATAGCTCATCCACAGAAAGTTTCTTCTACCTTAACAGCTTGGATATGACTTTGATATCAGCTGTTTAGAGCCGTGGTTCTCAACCTTTTTTGTACCAGAACCCATTTGTAAACCACAGTGACCAGTCTTGACTCTCAGTCCCCCAGAATGTGGGACATGGGAGGCCCCAAGCAGCTCCTTGCAGGCTGGAACTCTGCCTGCCTGCAAGGGAAAAGCTACATTTTCCTGTGATTTTCTCTTTTAAAAGAGAATCCATTCTTAAAGTTTGTGGATCCATTTTTTATGTTTGTTCACGACTCTTTCATATATTCTTGTGACCCACTTTTGGGTTGCAACCCACATGTTGAGAAATGGTACTTTAGAGCAGTGGGCTCCAAACTTTTTTGATCGCGCACCCCATCAGCAAAAAATTTTTGAGCATGCACCCCAATATATGTATATTTATAGAAACAGAAATAGAAGTTCTAATATTTTCTTCCTGCACCCCAATGGATCATCTTGCGCACTCCACTTTGGAGACCACTGCTTTAGAGGATCATTTTTCAATTTTAGGGCAGCATCTCCAAAATAAGTCTTTATGCTGATTGCTGAGTTCATGGGCAAAATATTCTCTTTAAAAAGACACTGTTCTTTGTAGAAATCATTAACAATCAAAAGTAAAACCAGGGCAAAAAAAAAAGTATCATTTCTCTTCCTGCCTAGACTCCCAATCTTTTGCTGCCCACAAAGCTTTAATGAATATACTGCTTAAATATAATAAAAATAACTGGACAAGACAGGCAGATGAAACCCACACAATCCTGCCCACAAAACCAACAAACTTTCTGTTGCCCATCCACTGCAATTCTAGACATATATTCAGTCACATATTACAAACAAGCAGCTGAAAATATTTGTAGCACTGCAAGTCACAAAAAGCAACAGTGTCCAACTTTGGAGTCACAGGTGGAGATAGGTTGAATTTTCTCGCTTTAGAGGAATATTTAAACATACGATTCAATGTGTTAATGATAAACTGATTAGTTCATTGAAAAAAAAGCTATTCTATTAAATTTGAAAAAACAGACATTAAGATTTTAAAAAGTTTTTCCCTCTCAAATCAGAATAATAAGTTTCCCTATCCCCACCACTATTCTCCAAATTCTGTGAATTTTTCTGGTAAATTTCATGCCTCCTTGCCCTCCCTTTTTTGGATAAAGTTTTAGATGAAAATACTCCTTTAAAGCCAAAAGCTCCACTAGCACTGTTGCACTGAAGGAGATTTACAACACCGCATGGCAAGCTACTAATAATTTCTTTGTTGCGAGACTGGAACTATTGATGAACTTTTATGTTGTACTATTATTTTGGTATATGGGATATTTTTCATCCATACATAACTCAAAGCACTTCAGTAAAAACAGACAAGGATTACTGTCTCTACTTTACAACCAAGGAAACTGAGCCATAGAAAGATTAAGTGGCTTTCTTACGGTCACAAAGAAAGGCAGTGGTAAAGCTAACATCAGGATCTAAGAATAACTCAGTCCTAGTTTTGACCCGCTACAGCGAGCTGCAAGGGAAAAAAGCCTGACATCATGTTTTAGCCATATGAAAAATGACTGAATTGTGTACATACAATTTATTGCCAGACAAGAATCATCAAGACAACTGAGAGGGAAGAAAAGTATTCAAAAAAAATCTGAAAGGTAGGAAGCGAAAAGTTAAAATGTGACATTTTCAAAAGAAAATGTAAATCTAGACATTCAGATTTAACTACCTTGCCAACAACTGGGATGCAGAATCACATTTTTCAAATTTTTAAGTTCTTCCATTGCCCATCATCTTTAAAATGGAGTACAATTACAACCACTCTACTCCTACCACAATTCCCCCCAATAACCTAAAAAAATGAACTATTCTGGTCTGCTACTCAGCCTACAAATAGGATGGAGAGATGCATATAGCATTTCAGACCTCAGACTTGCACTGGATGGCAGAGTAAGATAGTTATAGAGGTCTTTAGAATTGAGAGTGGATGAATCTACACATGCAAAGCAATAAACTCTGGAGCAGTTCAGGCCAGAGTAAGCTGCTCCTGGGCGCAGCATCTACACGTGTGCCCAAGACAGCAGCAATTCGAGCTGAGGTGGAACGGGCCGCAACTGGCTAGGCTAACTGGGCACAATTTAGTCAGTGTCTAGTGCAGTTAAATACTTTGCCATAAGAAACATCAGTACTATTTTATGGCAGAGTTTGTTAGTTTACTGCACCCTAATACCACCACACACTTACATGGCGACACTTTACTGCAGAGCCAATTAGTCTACTGTGTAGTAAAGCGCATGTATAGATGAACCCAGTTAGAAGTAGATTGGACTCAGGCTTACAACTGAACAAAGAGTGGTGGAAGATTCAGACTGTTTGTAGAGAGATTAGGATATAAAAATATAGCTATCTCAGGACTGTATCAACACAGGGCAGGAAAGGCATATGTCTTTGATATATACAAGGAAGGTAAGGGGGAAGATATTATGGTAGCTGTTTCAAAATAAATATTTGTGACTCGCTGGTTACAGGTGTAG